AAAGTGACATCTTTGCTCTTTAACACTTTAAAGAGGTCTTTTGCATCAGATTTGCCCAATGCAAAAACTTAATAACTTGACTGCTTTTTCCATGGATATTGATTGTTGAGACAAGTAAAATGAAATTCTTGTCAACTTCAATCTTTTCTCCATTTATCATGATGTTGCTTACCGGTCCAGCTGTGAGGATTTTTGGTTTTTTTATGTTGAGGTGTAATTCATACTGAAGATTGTAGCCTTTGACCTTCTCATCAGTAAGTGCTTCAAGTCTTCTTTGCTTTCAGCAAGCAAGGCTGTGTCATCTATATATCACAGGTTGTTAATAAATTTTCCTCTAATGCTGATACTGCATTCTTCTTCATATAGTCTAGCTTCCCAGACTATCTGTTCAGCATACAAATTGAGTAAGTATGGTAACAGGATACAGCCCTGACACACATTGTTCCTGATTTAAAACTATGCAGTATCCTCTTTTTCTGTTCAAATGAATGCTTCTTGGTCTATGTATAGATTCTTCACGAGCATAATTAAGTGTTCTGGAATTCCCATTCTTTGCAATGTTATCCGTAATTTATTATGATCCACACATTTGAATGCCTCTGCACAGTCAATAAAACACAGGTAAACATCTTTCCGGTATTCTCTGCTTTCAGCCGAGATCCATCTGACATCAGCAAAGATATCCCACATTCCACATCCTTTTCTGAATCCAGCTTGAATTTCTGGCAGTTCCTTGTTACTGTACTGCTGCAACCATTTTTGAGTTATTTTCAGAAAAATTTTATTTGCATGTGATATGATACTGTGTGATGATTTCCACATTCTGTTGGATCATCTTTCTTCGGAATAGGCATGAATATGGATCTCTTCCAGTCAGTTGACCATAAACAACTGCCATAAACACTTTCCATAAACAAGTGAGTGCTTCCAGTGTTGCATCCATTTGTTGAACATCTCGATGGGTATTCCATCAGTCTCTAGAGCCTTGTTTCTCACCAATGCCTTCAGTGTACCTTGGACCTCTTCTTTCAATACCATCAGTTCTTGATCATATGCTACCTTCAGAAATGTTTCAATGTTAACCAATTCTTTTTGATACAGTGATACTCTATATTCCTTCCATCTTCTTTCATATTTCCTACATCTTTCATTATTTTACCCACAGAATCCTTCAACATTGCAACTCAAAGCTTGAATTTTTTTCTTCAGTTTTTCAGCTTGAGAAATGCCAAGGGTGTTCTTCTCTTTGGGTTTTCTAACTTCAGGTCTTTGCACATTTCATTATAATACTTACTCCGTCTTTCAAGCTTCCCTTTGAAATCTTCCCTTCAACTCTTTTATTTCATCATTTCCTCTTCTCTTTAGCTACTCTTCATTCAGAAACAAGTTTCAGTCTTCTCTGAAGTCCATTTTGGTCTTTTCTTTCTCTATTGTTTTTTTAATGACCTTCTGAAATATCCAGGGGTATGAAAAGGGGAAGATTTATTTGAGGAATGTGCAAGTCTGTACATGGAGTACCAGATAAATACAGTGGGAAGGAAATTGCTTAGTGCCAGCCTTTGAAATTTCTGTGTTGGTGTGTGTGTTGTTTTGGTTTATTTCTTTCTTCTTCTTTTTTTTTCCTTTGCCATTCTATGAGATTTTGACTTTAATATGCAGGCACTGGGAAATGCATGACAAGGTTTATTTTAGAATCTTGTTTCAAGTGGCAAATGGAGATGAGGTAGGGTAGACTGGCAGCAAACAATCAGGTAGGAAGTTACTGCAACAGTTTAATCAGGAGACAATGAGAGCTTCAGTCATGGAAGTGGCTGTGAGAATGCAGAAGAAAGGACTAAATTTCAGATGTTCTGAAGGTAGAGTTGAATGAACTTAGTGACCAATGGAGTGTGGGGACTGAAATACATGCTTGTCACTATATTTCTCAGTAGAGGTGTGTGATAGTTGAAGATCTGTCAACTTGGCTGGACTTCACTTGTGAGTGATGTTTCCCATGATGGATCACATGACTACGTCCTAAGCGGCCGGTCAGTCTAGGGGGAGTTTCCCCAGGGGTGTGGCCTACCTGTAATACTATCCCAGGAACAAACTGGAAAAAACAGCATTCCAGATATATGCT